CCTTTTTATCTTTTTTTAATTCTGGGCCAGCTTTAGCTCTGAGGCTCCAGCTCTTAGGCCTCTGCTGCTGAAAGTAGGTAATCAAAACAATGTATAACTCCAGCTCTGACTCCAGCTCTGAGATCCTGGCTCACTGAAAGCAGGTTTCTGGAGGTTTTTTTAGCTTCTATATGGTACTATGTTTCAAACTGCCCTCTCAGAGTCCTGCAGCGGCAGGCTGGGAACGTTGGAGTCCGCCATCACTGAAGCAAGCAAGCCTCATGTTCAGTTTAAGCTGCCTGGCTGCCGGCCACCATCTTGGCTGACAGTTAATTTGCATATCTCGCTGATTAGCCAATGGGAAGGGTAGCGGTCGTACACCAATTACCATGTTTCTCTTTTATTAGTGTAGATATGATTCTTTACAAGGTAACTATAAATTTATATTTCATTTTGTAAATGTGGTAAGTTGTGAGTTCCTTTTCTACTGACTTTTTAATAAAAGACTTAAAGTTATTTAGACTCCCCAATTCCTAACTCCATGTTCATTAATATCATGCTATCTTTACCTGATTGGTTCTTAAGGGACTCATGTTTCCTGGTGGCAGCCATCCCACATTGCAGACCTAACACCTATGTAGCAGGCCCTTACAGAGATGTCAAATGTGTCCTGTTAAAAAGAAAATTCACCCTGAGCAGTTTGGCTCAGTGGATAGAGCGTCGGCTTGCAGACTGAAGGGTCCCAGGTTCGATTCTGGTCAAGGGCATGTACCTTGGCTGCAGACACATCCCCAGTAGGGGGTGTTCTGGAGGCAACTGATCAATGTTTCTCTCTCATCAATGTTTCTCTCTATCCCTCTCCCTTCCTCTCTGTAAAACAATCAATGAAATACATTTTAAAGAAAGAAATTTCATAAATGTGTTTCACAAACGTGCTTATTGTATCATCTTTTTTTCTTAAAAGGGTTTAATATCTGAGAGCTTTTCTTTTCTTTTTATAAAATACTAGAGGCCCGGTGCACAAAAATTTGTGCCCTTGAGGGAGAGGGGGGGTCCCTCAGCCCGGCCTGTGCCCTCTAGCAGTATGGGACCCCTCAGGAGATAATGACCTGCTGGCTTAGGCCTGCTCCCGAGTGGCAGAGGGCAGGCCCAATCCCTAGGTGCAGTCCCTGGTTGGGCTCAGAGCAGGGCCGATTGGGGCCTCCCAGGGGAGGATGAGTTATTGTGGAAACTTTATTGATGAGGTAACATTAAGGGAGTTCCCCTTCAGGATCCCATCCCTCCACCTCCATAAAAAGTCCCAACTTGTTTTCAGCAGAGCTAGGATTAAAGCAACTTCCCAGAGTTTCCGTTCCATGTAGAAGCACAGTCCAGTCCAACATATGGCTAGCTTAGCTTGTATTCCCAGCTGAAGTCCATTGTGTGCAGGGGCCACAAGGCCATGGGCCCTGC